GTCATAGATGATTTAGCAACTAATTTTAAAATAATTTTAAATTTTTTTTAAAAAAAATACTTGTCTTTAAGCTACTTTTCTTAAACTACTTAAAAAATTAAATTTACATTTTTTAACAAAATTTTAAATTATTGACAGGAGAAACTTACTTAAAATACAAATTTGCCTAAAGAGCTCCACCAAATTATCTCTAAATCTAAATTAGGTTTTTAAATTTAATAATTCATTTTCAAGTCTAATGATTTGTTTTCAAATCTTAATATTACATTTAGTTAGTCAAGAATTTAACTCTTACCAATTATTTAAAAAAATCTCCATTCCTCCATCATTTTCCATGTTTTTTTTTTTTTTTTGTAAAGCCTCTAAATCTAGATAATTTGAATTTTTATTTGTTACAGAAACATTAAAAAAAAAAAAAATTCGAAGCTGTAGCAGCATCGTGAAGTTGCAATCACAAGACAGCCACAAACATGCCGGACACGTGAGCTATGCAATTACGCATGCAGCATTGGACTGTTGTGCCCACGGGTCCACACCACCACTCTTCCCCCATTTCCCAAATGTAGGCCCCATTATCACAAAGCTGGCCTTGACGCGGACCGCATTCCCACCGTTCGTTCCAACCTCCACGTGAACCCTTTGGTACCTTCTAATCTCTCTTATGTATCCTTCCTAACGTCTGTCAGAATTTTCTTTTCTTTTCTTTTTTTTTTCAATTTCAATGGTACTAAATAAGTAAAGTAGTACTAGTAGAAGAACTAAATAAATAGAGAACATTTTTTTTTTTAAAGAATGGATTCCATTTGATATACCAATTTGGGGGCGGGGGGTAGAAAAATGTTAGTATTAATGAATTTTTAAAGTACAGATGATATTTTTCCTTTTTAATCTTAAATTGATATTTTTAAGTGCATGATGGTAGAGAATGACTTTTAATAAGTAAACTATTCACACAAAAGAGGGTAAAAAGAATTTTTTAATTTGCCAGATGTTTACCACACGGGCCAGAGCGTTGTACTTTGGTTGTCATTGTTCTTCATAATTTTTTTTTTTGTAATTTATCAAAAAAATAAATTTATTATAATTAATTAATTTAAATAAATATTTTATATATTTTATTTTAAAAATAATAAAAAGATAATGTATGATTCACATCCTCCTTCCTCTTTTTATTTGACTTTGCCTTTATACCTCTCAAAAATCTTATATTTTTTGTATTAACATCTTAATATCTGACAATCATATCGAATCTCAATTAATTTAAAAAATACAAATTTAAAATCTTATTTAAAAAAGATTAAAATCTTTTCATTTAAATCAATATGTTACTGATTTCTAAAATTTTATATAATAGCATTTATTTATGAGATAGTTGTAATTTTATTTTATGATATTTTAATAGGTATAATTTTGTGAGAATACCAATTCTTTGTGAGAGAGTTGTAATTTTTTTTTTAGGCTAGTGAACAATTAATTGACATAATTTTCAAAAAGTTATAATTTCTTTTAGTTTGGAGGGCTTTTATTAATTAATTTTGTAATTATCTTTCTATCCTCTCTCTTCGCCAATTCTCTCCTTTTACAAAAGGTTCACCATCTTCAGCCATTAACTTTATCACCGTTGGCTCCCAGACACTTTATCATGTTGAACTTTCATCTTATGTCATTTTTTTTTCGTTTGTTTTATTCTTACTTTTAAATTTATGAAAGTGACTGTCCAAAGTCAATTGTAATAATATACATTATTTTTAAAATTAGATTTAATATAAATGTATTCATATTTGTGTTAGTTTCAGCAGTTGTATACCTCCACCAATTTTCACTTAGTTGCGAATAAAAACATGACTTTAACCATACGATTTAGAATTCTACATGACTCTCGTCTAATATTGTTAGAAGTTTGAAGAAAGCAAATAGATTATTTAAAAGGTTAAAACTCTATTTTGGTCCTTGAACTATTACATGGATTATTGATTTGGTCATTGAACTAAAAAAATCTCTAATTTGATCCATACTATTTATTATTTTAACTCCAATTTGATCATTCCATTAAAAAACTCGTGACGTGACCAATTACTTCACAGTTATATGCTGACATGTCAAATATTAATACATGTGGCAACCAATATGACAAAAAATATAATGACATGAAAAAAATAATAATATAAAAAATAAAACTTAATTCTTTTTTTTCTTCTTTTTCCCTTTCTCTTTCCTCTTCTTCTTTTCCCTTGGAACCCAAGCCTTTCTCTTTCCTCTTCTCCTTTCCCCTTCTTCTTCCCCCTTGGAAGTTGGAACCCAGCAGGTGTGGTTCCTTCAAACCCAGCAGGTGTGGTTCCTTCAAACCCAGCAGGTGTGGTTCCTTCAAACCCAGCATGTGTGGGTTCGATGCAACCCATGCCTTGGGTTCCAGGAGAAAAAATTGTTTTTTTTTATTTTTCTTGGGTTTTGTTGATTGCCAAAAATGAATAATTGATTGATGAAGAAGGCAAGGCAAGGAAGAGAAAAGAGAAAAAAAGGGTGTCTGCTAAGTTCGTTTGAACCTAGCACGCCTGGGTTCAAAAGAATCCAGGGGTCAAAAAATAAAAGATTGAAGAACTTCTACAGTATAGCAATGCATTGTTGTGACGATCCAAACAAAAGCAACGTAATGGTAAGATTTTCTTTTTTCTTTTTAAAAGTAGAATAGGAATCGTAAGATGGGGCTGGGAAAATAACCTCTGATATCCAATATTAAAGATTCATTTCTTCTCAGTGATTTTTTTTTTTTAACAGATTATAAATTGAGGTAAGAGGAATTCAATTCAATTCAAGAGACTGGAGTGCACTTATTAAGGCTAACAAAATTATTAGGTCAAGAACACCAAGTGCCTTCTCAAATGATTTTAATTGTAAAGTTTAGTATAGACCAACTTAAATGATTTACTTGTAATCCCTCTTCTAAGGAGATTAACAAATTCAAACTTGAGTAGTAGATATGTGAATAGAGTAGGTAAAAGGATGATATAATTTTCTCTAATTATGTGACCTAAAATATATAAAATAAATATAATTATACTTTCTAATCTAGTACACAAACTTAAAAAATAATTGCACTTTTTTAAAACATTTTTTTATGAAAAAAATTAAAATATTTTGATATTTTAATATTATTAACATAATTATTAAACATGTAAAATATTATGTAAGTTTGAATTTTATCACATTTATCACGTAATTACTAGACAAATATCGTTTATAAATCCTTATTTAACCCCAATTCATTAAGAATACTTTGTTTTTTCCAATTCTAAATTAATATTTTTATTTAAGTACAAAACGGACCACAACAAACATTTGTGCCTTTTCTATGCCAAGAAAAGGCAAGAAAATGCCTTCTTTCCACTGGAAAGAAAAACGGTCCCTTAATCTCCTTTTATTACACCAAATCAAGGCAGGAAAAAGACCTTTTTTTTTTTTTTTTTGGTAAAAGGGCAGGAAAAAGATTTTGCAGATTAACTAATACAGTCAAAAAGCAGCCAAAGAATCAGGAAACTTGGAAATGAATACTCAAGTACTCTCCTTTGTTCTTCTTGTCCACGCGGTCCCGTCGCATGTAGATCCCACCTCCCGTCTCCCCTTCCTTTCTCTCCCTGTTTGTTTCAAAAGAAAATAGAAGAAAATGTGGGTTCGGACGCTGTTGTGTTTGGATTTAATGCGGGATCAACAACAGTCAAAGTCGGTCTTCTAAGATGAGAAAATTTGGGAATCAACGAAGAGAGTAATAAATGCTGAATTTAACCAGTGCCTGCCCCTAATTTTTCACCCGAACAGAGACACACGATCCTTTTGCTCTCTTTTCCTACTCCAGACCCAACTGGGGTCCTTCCGTTTTCTCATGTGGGGATTCTCCAGATTTTGTTTTTCTCGTCCCGTCTTGTTACTTTCACACTCTGCACCTCTCCTCTCTAATTGGGGTCAGACCACCCACCATCTCAGTCCCCCATTTATTACTCTTTTCTCTTCTCTTCTCTTCCTTGCCAAGTACTTTTTTATACCCATCTCTTCAATTTCTCTGCTTTCTCTGCCCTTGACGATTTTGCCTTGTTGCAGAGGGAATTTTGCCTTCCTGAACACTGCATTTTGAGCTTCCATCTGTGTAATTTCTTGGTTTTTGGTCTGTTGGGTTACATGAAATGCTTTAATGGTCATCATGACTTCAGTCTTCTTAGTT